CAACTGAGATTAAAATCCTAGTCCTTAAGAAATTCCAACTATCTCCTTTGGTCAAAAGATATTTAAGACTCTAACAATCACTAAATACCTCAAGCTTAGAATCATATAGGTAGTGTCTCCAAATCTTAATGTAATATCATAACCACTAACTCATAGATAAGGTAGTTCCTCTCATGAATTTTCAATTGCCTAGAAACATAAGCTACTACCTTTCCTTCTTGCATCAACAATGCATCCAAATTCATCTTATAAGTACTACTATATACCACAAAAGGCTTACTAAAATCCAATAATATTAACACTAGTCAATCTTGCCTTAAGAGTTGGAACTATTCTCATACTTACTATCCCACATAAAGGCAATACTCCTCCTAGTGAATGTTGTAGTTAAGGGTAATGCTATCTTAGAAATTCCTTCAATAAATCTCCAATAATAATAAGCTAACCTCATAAAACTCTTATCTTCATTAACCGGCTTAGATATCTCCCCACTTAAACACAACTTCTACCTGAGACAGATCCATGTTTACCTCACTGGAATTTACAGGAACTAAAAAACTTATCTCATAGAATCAAAAAATAAATAAAATAAAAAAATAAAAATAAAGATAAGATAAGATAAGATAAGATAAGATAAGATAAGATAGTAATACTTAGATAACTTAACATACAACCGTCTTGGATATATCTCTACCCTCAACTACAATATGATCATATCACACCCTAAGATCAATCTCACTAACCACATGACATTCACCAATTGATTCCTAAGGTCATCTATCCACATTTCAACATACATGCATATTAAATCATATTAGAATACCTACTTCAAACAATCGATATATATCATTCCTAAGCATGTACGAATCAATCATCATTTACTCCATATAGCATGTACATGAACCAACTTTACCACATAACATCATACAACCTTAAACAACCTCTCAATCCACATGACATCTCAGAATCATGACAAAAATCAATTTTTATCCTTGCATTGCCTAACGATTCAAAAATATCATGACACCATACATATCCCTTCAACAACGATCAAAGAAAATGATACCTAGAGAGTTATACTCATCCAAATGATCTCAAACCTATCTTAAAAGAAAGCTAAGAGAATAAGCTACAACTCCTATGAAGACATAAGATTCTAAAAAGATCATCTTCTTAGCTAAAAAT